TCATTCAATAAAAGAGAGGAAAAGTGAGAGAACGATTTCTTTAATTTAACAATTTATTATTTCGCAAATCTAATATTCTCAATTATTGCCATGGATCAAGGTATGTTTCTTGATCAATTAAATTTATATGTGAAAATCATGAATTCTAAAGATTTTGATATTAGGGTTTAATGTCTTACACAAACGTCTATGTACAAATAGCAAATTTCAATTTTTTTTTTCAAAAAGAAATGTGAATCGGTAAAATTGGGCGAATTGATTGATTTGAGTTTCTTTTAATAGTTTCTACATTTTTTATTGAATATTGCTATTTGTATACTGGCGTTGTACACGTCCCTCAGATGAGGGAGGGAGCCTACGCCCAATAAAAAAAAGAGTGGGCCACTCTTGTGTGAGGGGTGTGTCAACGTCAGTGTACGTGTAGTACAATTTTTTTTTATTTCTAGCACGTACTCAGATCCGAACTTGAATTGATTATCTCCCTTGTCCAATTATTATAATATTAAGAAAAGATATTTTACGTCAAATATCGCACGAATCCTCTGGTTAATCAAAAGGCCTTGAACCCCATTTAACCCTTGTTTGTTATAAAATTTTAAAATTCAATTTTTCTCAAATTCATTTTTAATCACACATTCTTTATATAAAATAATAATTTTTCATATGAACACATAACTTTTTTCATACTTTTTAACAACACGTTCTTCAAAATATCACTTTTGACGAAATATATATTCTGAAAAATATACATTAATACGCAAAACAATACTTACTTAAAATTATTCAATAGTCAAGCAAGAGGGAAATAGGTGGCCGCAACTTGTTCACAACGAGGATTTGATTTTGATAAAACGGGTAAAAGCAAAGACCATGATTGATGAATAAAATAAGTTACACAAAAAATAAAAAATAAAAAAAAATCAACATAGTTAACTCCAAAGCAAAACTAAATTTGTTATTTTTTTCTTGCCTTAATGGCTAGGCTACTGTGAAATATTTTGTAATCTTATTTGATGCAATACATCTGTAGAATAACTCGTGGATACGAAAATTGTGACTTTGTCCATATTTTACTTGATCTAATTTATTTAGCGCTTGTTTGAAAGAAGTTATTTTTTATTTTTTTTTTAAAGAATGTGTGGTTAAAAATAGGGAAAAATTATTGAATTAGTTAAAAATAATTTCTTTGAAGAATGTTTATGATTGAAAATGAAAAAATTATAAACAAGCTCTTAATGCTTGATGCATTATTCACATATTGTTTTGTTGTTTTATGCTGGTAGTATTTGGCCTTCCGAACCCCAAGTGATGTAAATTTCTCGTGATTTTTGTGTTTGATAAGTTAAAAATTAGAATATTACCTTATCCAAATGTGGTGGCGTCAAATTATAGTTGTTTGCATTATTGCATACGTAGAAAGTAGCAATGAGATTTCTATTTTAATTGTAATGTCGATAATTGAAAGTGTTTAACCTTTATCCATTCCATCAAGGATTTTGATACTTGTACATAAAAATGATACATAAGCAATTATTGAAAATGAAGTGGAGGAAAAATTTTGAATAAAAAAGTTGATCGTGTTTCAAACTGGCAAATGGTAGAGTGCTATGTAACATTATGTAAACCTTGATGTATATATAGTAAACTCCTTTTATCAATAAACACATAAATTCAAAATTTTTAACTATACATTCTCCAAAATGTTATTAATACAAAATATATTTTCTAATAAATGGGGCTCAAACAAGTTACATGTTATTTGTGGTGACTTCATGGAAAAAAAAAAAAAAAATTGATCTCTTTCTTCTCTTCTCTTCTCTTCTTTATTTTTCTGCAATATCTTTTGTTTCCATATCCTCTTCTTCGCCTCTGAGAATCCAATAATTTCCTCTAAAAACTTGTTCCACAAATTAAGGGTTAAGCCCACGAACTTAGGCCCAAAAGTTCCCATTGTCTAGCGATTGTTGAATAAAGCAACGGGTAAATGAGGAACATAATATTTAGTGAACTTCATTGGAGACTTTTAAGTTTTAGAACTCCAAGGGGGTAAAGTATTAAGCAGAAAGCTTCAATAATTGACTTGAGTGGTCTTTTGTCTTTGGATGAGTCATAAGACTAGCGATATAAGAGGGAATGATTAATGTAAAAATTACATAACTAGGCCATGAATAGAGGATCATATTGAAAAATTGAGTAAATATATAAAAATTTCAATTTTTTTTTAATGTATGCTATTGTTTTAACGACGTTCAAATGATTAGTCTTTTACTTATTTTGTTTCTAACATGTCCAAAATATGTTTTAGCACTGGCAGCAAATATTGTAAAATTTGATAGATGATAGAGATATACAACACTATTTTATGTGATTTTTGGTTGAATGGTCTAGTTTCAAATACATTTTACGTACTTGTATTTGTCATAGAGACATCATAGGATCATACATAAAATGAATTAATTCTATTTGAAAGAGATTATTAAATAAATAACAGTGGAATCAAAATCCTAGTTATTTTACCTTTTTGAATTTTCTCTAAAGCTCAATACACACTTTTAACTTACTTTTGTAAAATTGTTAAAATAATTAGCTCAAATCATCGAATTAATCAAAATCATTGGGTATTTGACAAAACTTATTTTAATTAAATCAAACACAAGTTCTCAATTTCTGAGGACAATACTCTATTCTCTACTTTATTATTTACCTACGACACAAAGATACCATATACTTCTAAGATTTTAGCAAACATTTTGCTTTTCAACAGTTGCCTCAGTGCAAACCCTCAATCAACTTGACTTTTCCAAGTTCTTGACAGGAAATAAAATAATTTCCTTTTATTTGCCCACAGAAAAAGTTGACAAGAAAAAATATAAAAATTAGACGAAAGATTTACGAAATGTAAAAGTTTTCACTATATGACAAATTTGTACAATTTTAGAGAATTCACTCACAGAAACTCCAAATATTGTAAAAAAAAAATATCCGAAACTTTACTACATCCACCATTTTTACTCTTTACGCAACACAAAGAAAACTACTTTTTGTAGGATCCAAAACGAAAAACAAAAATTAATTGATTTAAACTTTTATAATTTTTCCAATTCTATTTCACGTGCTGGTTGAAGAAGAGAAAAGCATCCCAATTTATAAAAATAAAGAAACTTCAAATCCTTGACAAACTCTAATTCGTGGACCGAGAAGAATTCTACCGAATTTTTCCCCATTTTAA